ACTGAGAATTACACCAAGAGCTTCCCTGGTTCTGAAGATTTCAGCTTTGGACTGAGCCATCACGCTACAGCATCCAAGGTCCTTAAACTCGCAGATGGCTGTCTTGGGAATTCTCCGACTCTACAATGTTACACGAGTAAATCCCCAAACAAAATGCCATTCATCTAACTATTGTCTATCTATCAACTCTCCATCTACGCATCTATCTACCTACCTACCTACCTATCTATCTCCCTGTAGAAAAAAAAAAAAAAAACTGACAAATACACCCATAAAGACTTCAGACAAATGGCGCAATAGCATGTCTTTCTCTATTCCTCCTCAATCACCCCTTATGAGTGTGTGGCCTGGAGAGCTCTTCATTTTCATTGGCACTTCAAGGAATGCTGGCCTCTTCTTACTGGGGTTGGTTAGTAATACATTACTAACGCCATTATACACATTGTGTTGAGTTGCCTCCTCTGTATTTCACTTGACGAACACACATGGACCTCACTTTTCTCCCACTTAGCACTCTCCTAAAGAGTGGTTAACTTGGTAGAAATAAACTAGACACAGGTCAGACAGGATCCACAGGGTGTCTCACAGTATAAACAAGTACTCTCTGAGAAAGATACCCGGATGTAAGCTGGACAGTTCGGCTTTAGGCCATCGATCAGGATAAGCAAGCATCCCATGAAAGGCACAGCCAGTACCAAACCCTGAGTCGTACTGGGCAAGGCTATAGGTTATATCCACCGTCCAGAGAGGCCTTAGAGCAAACATAAGTAAAAATAAAATACATGCTGTGTGATAATTTTACAAACTATAGTTCCGGGAATCCTTGAGAGGGAAAGTAAAAATGGCAAAGCATTATTTGAAAGTTTGCGCTGGAGTCGTAGCTCTCCAAAGATAAAGAAAAATTTCAGGCCTGGTGCAGTGGGTCACACCTGTAATCCCAGCACTTTGGGAGGCCGAGGCAGGTAGGCCATGAGGTCAGGAGATCGAGACCATCCTGGCTAACACGGTGAAACCCCGTTTCTACCAAAAACAAAACAATTAGCCGGGCGTGGTGGCAGGCACCTGCAGTCCCAGCTACTCGGGAGGTTGAGGCAGGAGAATGGCATGAACCTGGGAGGTGGAGGTTTCAGTGAGCTGAGATCGCACCACTGCACTCTAGCCTGGGTGACAGAGTGAGACTCCAATTCAAAACAAACAAACAAACAAACAAACAAAAAACTCTATCTAGAGGATTTGAGCCCTAATAATAGAAATGTAAACAATGATCTCTGTAACTTATTTATGTATTAATTTAATTAAGTTTACCTATTCCCACTAATTCAACTAAACCTTATGCTCGAGGACATAATTTATAAAAGTAGGATAGAAAAATAAATATAAGACTTCCAAATTGAAAGGGAAGAAGTCAAACAATCTGTTGGCCAGTGACATAACCTAATATATAGAAAATCCTAAAATATTCACTAAAATAACATTGAAACAAAAACAAAATTCAGTATGCATGATCAATGTAATAAATTGCATCCTATACAATAGAAACTAATCAAATAATGACTCTCAAAATAATTTCATGTAACATGGCATCAAAAAGAAAATATATTTGAAAATAACATAATAACTGCAAGATATATATACTGAAAATTACAAATAATATTGAAGTCTTAAAGAAATCCTAAATAAATGAATACAAGAATTAGTGTAATATACTATATAAACTAGTTTTTCATTGATCAGAAAGCTATTAAGTATTAACCAGGATGCTTATACTTTCTAAATACATCTTCAGATTCAATACAAGCCCTACTTAAATTCTAATTTTTTTTCATTTTTAGCAGTTCTTGGACCACTGATTCTAAAACACACAGAAAAATGCAAGTGATCCAGAACAGCCCAAAGAATGTTAAATGTTTTTTACAGAAACTCAAATGATGTTTATAGAAAGTCTGCCCATAGGGAAATGGGGCATAATTTCCTACTTTCTATGTATGCGCTGGGCATAGTGATGTTTTTTCCAAAAGGTACAACATGAAAAGAGGAATAATATTAATTTTATAGTGAAGAAAACTGAGCTAGACTGCCTCATCCATGCGATCAAATAACATTAACCATGATAAAGCAGCTGGGCACAGTGGCTCACACCTGTAATCCCAGCACTTTGAGAGCCTGAGGTGAGAGGATCGCTTGGGGCCAGGGCTTAGAGACCAGCCTGGGCAATGTCTTGAGTTTCTGCCTCCATAAAAGTAAAAGTAAAATGAAATCACCCAGATGTGGTGGCACATGCCTGCAGTCCCATCTACTCAAGAGGCTGAGGTGGAAGATCATTCCAGCCGAAGAGTTCGAGGCTGCAGTGAGCTTTGTTCATGCCACTGCCCTCCAACCTGAGGAACAGAGTGAGACCCATCTCAAAAAAAAGTGATAGAGCATGTTGATACTATGTACTCTTGTCACAATATCATGAGAATAAAACCTTCCCTCTGGGGTTTTCCTCTGCTAAATCCACACCGGCCATCCAGTCATTAGGAAAACACCAGAGACATCCCAAAGGAGGGATTTCAATGACATCAGAAATAGGAAACATCTGAGAAACTGGCACAAGATACCTAAATGTCATGTGGTGTCTTGGGCGGAATCCTGGAAGAGAATATGGACGTTACATGAAAACAGAATATCTGATGAATCGTGAATGCTGGTGAATGATAATGTATAATATTGGTTCACCAACTGCAACAAGTGTTTCAAATGAATGAATTTATAAAAGGGAAATTATGTGTTGAGTATATATAAACTCTCAGTATGTACTTCCAACTATTCTGTAAATCCAAAAGTATTGTAAAAAAGATTTAAAAAAAACAAATAAATAGCCCGGGCGATGTGGCTCATGCCTGTAATCCCAACACTTTGGGAGGCTGAGGCGGGTGGATCACGAGGTCAAGACCATCCTGGCCAACATGGGGAACCCCGTCTCTACTAAAAAAACAAACATGAACCGGGCGTGGTGGCGGGCGGCTGTAGTCCCAGCTACTCGGGAGGCTGAGGCAGGAGAATCGCTTGAACCCGGGAGGCAGAGCTTGCAGTGAGCCGAGATTGTGCCACTGCACTCCAGCTTAGCAACAGTGGGAGATTCCATCTCAAACAAAACCCAAAAAACCAAAAAAACAAAACAAGCGAACAAAACAAATAAATAAAACATACATATTTTTGAAATTATACTATTGAGCTTACTAAGCAGTACACTGTCGATCTTGTAGTGTCCCAGGTGCTCACTTCCCTATTCCTACCCTTTTTGTTACCCTGGTCAACAGCACTATTATTTTTAATTTCCTTTTTCCATTTGCAAACTTTTCTTTCTTAGTTTTGGTCTCTAAATCTGTATTTGTAAATAATGTCCTGTTCGCTGTTTCTTGTCTTCACAAATAGACAATTACATGTCTTTAACTATATGGCTCAGTAAAATCATGAGAAACATTCAGAGAAATCCAGATTCTGATACATTTTACAAATTATGTGACCTGTTTTCTCACAAAGGCCAAGGTCAGCAAAGTAAGTGAGGACTGAGAACCTGTCTCAGATTAAGAAAGACCTGATGTTGGCAGGTGAGCGCTGAGATGGTGCGCAATGATCCTCACAGCTTGGTGTACATAACCCAATATTCTAATCCTTTCCTTTTGACTTTGCGGAGAAACCGAGACTTGCTTTGATACATCAGAAAACTACAATGTGATAGGACGTCACTTGAATAATCATGTTACCTAAGATTATGATACCTGTCTTGCCGCAAGCTCTCTCCCATGGTGGCTTTGATGACACATTCTGCCATGGGAGAGAAGCCAACATAGGAAATAACTGAATGCAGCCTCTGGCCACAGACAGCAAAAAACTGAGGCTCCCGTTCCAGTATCCTGCCCTAGAGGTTGTAATTTATATTTACAACTAATCTAAGCTCCTTTCATATAAAATTATACTGCTTCAGAAGTAGTGTAACCATCTTATACTAGTTCTAACTATTTCTTCCTTTTTCCTGTATTTTTCTTTTGTCCCTCTTTTCCTGTCTTTCATTTTACTTATATGTGTGTATATATATCTTATACTTACAAAAATATAATTAAATACATTGCTTCTTTTTTTTTTTTTGAAACAGAGTGTTGCTCTATCAGCCAGGCGGGGTGCAGTGGTGCATTCTACGCTCACTACAACCTCTGCCTCCTGCATTCAACGATTTTCCTGCCTCAGCCTCCTGAGCAGCTGGGATTACAGATGTGTGTCACAACGTCCAGCTACATTTTGTATTTTTTTTAGTAGAGATGGGGTTTCACCATGTTGGCAAGGCTGGTCTCGAACTCCCCACCTCAGGTAATCCACCCACCTGGGCCTCCCAAACTGCTGTGATTGCAAGCCTGAACCACCGACCCAGCCTTGCTACTATTTTTTTGAAAGGCACCTGTCTGCTATTGAATATAATTATTTTAAATATGCTGTTATATGTAAGATCAACTAAGAATATGAAAATTATAAGCTTTTCTTGAGTAACTAATAAAAAAGTATTTAAAAAGTCTGAGATCTTAAGAAAGAATATTGAATTATATGAAATGCTGAATAAAAACCACAAAAAAAGGAAAATGAATAGAAGACAAAATTGGAAACAGGGGCAGCGCAAAAAGAGAAGACAGTAACAAACATGGTGAATATTCATCCAACTGTATCAATAATTACTTTGAATAAGTGTCAAAACCTAATTCAGAACAATCATAATCAGAATATCAAGATATGTGTGAGTTAACTTAGGAATTAATTTCAATATTGCTTTCATTTGTATACGAATAAAACGTAAATTTAAAACTCTAGACGAACTTTTTCAGTAAGTGTAAATAAGTCTATTATGTGTATAAGAGTTTAGATAGAGATATTATTATTTGAGATCCTACTTAAGTCTTTGATTCATTGACATGCTGTGGATGTCCCGAACAAGACTACTACAGACATTACATATTCACCAATCTGACCTTCCCTTTAGTGATACAAAGGCCAGCTCGCTTGTCCATTTTTCTCTGTGAGACTGGTGCACGTTGTTCCTTACTCAGCTTCACACTGACAATTACATCCATATAGGCGGTGGTACAGTAATGATGGAGTAACTGCAGGAAGAATGAAACAAAATGTTGTGGTAAAACTTATGGGGATTGGACATGGCTTATCACATTTAAAAATGGATGATTCATCTGGAAGGATGGATTGCAAGACAGTGCACATCAAACAATGAAGGAAGTGACATCCGAGAGAGGCGAAACAATGAGGGTTTACTGTTGCTTCAGGTTACTGCTTGGGGAGAGTTTCCAGGCTGTGGTGTGACACGGACTCTGGAAGACAGTTGGAGTTGAGAAGATGGAACTGACTGGAGAAAGAGGTGGCTGAATTTCATGAGGCAGGAGCACTCAGGCCAATACCCATGCAGGCTGGAATGTGGTGCCATCATTACTCCACTCAGACGTGGTTCACAGGAGTACTGGAGCAGTACAGAAACAAAAAGCAAAGATACAAAGAAAAGTAATTTAAATGAATTCTTTAATAAAGAATAATTTACCTTTATGCTTTCATCTCATTTATGACTACAAAAACACAAAGTTTTCCATGACTCAGTAATCCTGCATCAAGTCCAAGGATGAAGGATATTTTTAGAAATCAAGTAAATGGTTTGTTAGGTAGATTTAGTGACCCTGTGTGGACACCAACCTGCCTTTCCTATGTTATGCTGCTAGTTGTGGCTGGTAAAATCACTACATTATGAAATAATTAAAGTACAATTGTCTACTTATAAGAGAATATTTCTCACCAAAAGGAGAAGCCAATAAAGGTTTCTTCCTTCACTGATTTTCCTTAAAAAAATCTCCAGTTTCCTTTGCACTTCAAAACTATTTTTTTCTCTGTTCGTCACTCCATGAATGCCACAGGCTATGTAGTTTGCATGAAGTACAGGGTAGCTCTTTAGACACAGTGAAATTAAGTTAAATTGTAACCCAGTATAGCATTTTCCTAAAAATTACCTGTGTATTTTTTCTCTTTCTCACTGTTCACCTCTTGCTTAGCTCCTTAGAAAGGCAAATTTAACCTTTTCCTTCCTTCGTTTCCACCAGTGAAACAGCCTGCAAGGACTGCCAGCTTATCTAAGTATGTTTCCTTAGAAATTCTAAGGACCAAATGTTGAACGGAAGCGGCACCATCCAGAATTCTCCCTCACAGGGAGACTGTCTCAAGACAAGAGTTAATCCACATTCCGATTCTGTCCTCAATGACACTGGTCAGATTAACGGATGACCTCTTAGCTAAGTTTTACAGCAAGTCACATAGACCCCGCACCTCCATGTTCCTTGCACGCCCTGCATAAGAAAGTTTCTCTTCTTAAAACCCTGCTTTCATCCCAGAAAACTGAAGCGGCTCCTTTAGATACAAACCCGGTTCTTCTCCATTGCTAAACTGTGAAATAAAATCACTTTCTTTTTACCACCCTCATGCTTGTTATTTGATAGTGTCAGTGACAAGTGGCCAAACCTGTGTTTGGTAACAAATTTGGTGGCCCATATGGGGAGCATTATGTGCTCTGGGCAACCCAAGCCTGTGAGCCTGGTTTTGCTACCAAGGCGGGGGGTTACCTGTGAGTACCTGCAGCTGAAGGCTAGCGGACCCCATGGGAGGAACGTTAGGGAACTTCCAAGTGGCTGCTGAAAATCTTTCATTTCCTAGACCCTCCCTTTCACTTCCTCGCACAACTACTGCAGCCATCGACACTTTGCTGGTACAAAGAATGTGATCTCTGAAGAAGCTGGCAACCCTTGCAACCAAGGGAGCTGGTCGGATTGCACCCAGCTTTCCCGTGTCTTCTGGGGTGTCGCTGGGGCTCTGCTGTTTCGTCTTGTTCACTAACGGGACTATCAATTGAGTGTTTGACGGATTTGAATTTGTGGCACTCCTGGGCATCGCTCCACTTGGTTTCAGATACCTGTGGAGCTGTTTTGAACAGAGGAAAGAAATTCAGGATTCTACCCAGCCCTTAACTGGGGTTTGTTTGGAAGCTCACCATTTGTTTGTAAGTGTGAGTGTATGACCTTTGAGTGTGGGCCCTGATCTCTTCCTATCTTTTTCACTTTCAACTTCATCTTCCTGATTATCTTGGAAGCCACCTACAGCCTTACTCATCTCAGTCAAAGGTACCCCTAGCTCTCGCCAGCTGTCAACAGTTTCCTTTGCCCATGACTTGCAGAGGTGGGAGGGATTTGTCTCACACTGTGCATGTCCAGGGTACTGGGGCTCTCCCTGATGGGATGTCAGCAAGCGTGGTGGGGATACCAACCCTATATCATGCAGCAGCTAGAAGGTTCACAAACCTCCTTTTCTATCTTTTTCTCTTTCCCTCCTTTTAAAGGAGCCAGATTTTAAACCTGGCTCCTCTGCAGAGGCCTGACAGGAAATTCGTATTCTCATTCTCTTCTGGATTTCAGCTGGCTACTTATTAAGACCTACTTTTGTGAACATTTTAAACAGAGAGGCAAACTATAGCAAGAAAACTTGAGAGCTCAAATGGTTAACTGCAGCTATTAACTGAAGCAGAGTCATCAAAACCTCTTTCTTCCTCTGTTTTGTTTTCTGTCTGCTTCAGATTGGCTGTTACTAAGCTGTTGGTGCTGTGATAAGACACATTATTTACGGACTAATTAGAAAGTAAACAAAGGAAACTTGTTTAAAACTGAAGGAAAAAAAAAGGTAAAAGATGCTTTCTTAAAAACAAAACTGCCATAAAGATTGCTTTACTCAAATTTTGGTTCACAGCTTTCATAGATTATATATTGGAGAAAACACAATTTAGCCATGGAAACAGGTTCCAGTTTTGTCAGACAATAACGTGTATCCAGCTATTTTTTATAAAATACTGAGTGTATACTGTTACTTTACGGTTGGAACCCCAAGGTAAAAGCTATGAGACCTTTCCTTGTGTGTGTATACCTGTTTACACGTTTGTATGTACATATGTAGACATGTTTGTGTGTATGTACATATGTAGATGTTTGTGTGTATGTACATATGTAGACATGTTTGTATGTACATATGTAGACGTGTTTGTGTATGTACATATGTAGATATGTGTGTATGTACATATGTAGATGTGTATGTACATATGTAGACATTTTTGTGTGTATGTACATATGTAGGTATGTGTGTTACGTCTAGTCTGCTACTAAATTGACTTACAAGTAAATAAGCGCTCATAAATTAAGTCAGGCAGCTTTTCAATTTCACATAAATTTAATAATCCTTGAAAAATAAAACTGGTTTTAAGATTATTGGTGACATAATATTAGAAATATCTTCAAAATGATCAGCATATTTTTATCTGAGTTTACTGAACAAATGGTTTTGTATTTATCTCTGTCTATATATTAAGGTGTCAGGATATGACATAAAGGCTATAGGACCATAAACCCAGCCAAAAACAGAATAATTTTTGTTTGTGTGATTTTATAGATGAGTTAGACTAATTTAATATTACTAGTTCAATGAAAATAGTTAAATCTTCTGTGCTATTAACAAAATGCACATATATTGAACTTTAAGGTTCTTAATTAGGTAAAACACCTTATGTCCACAGACGTTAAAAATGGGTTATAGGGACATAACTAAATAATTACTACTTTTGGGTAATATCCCAGTTTTCAAAAGTACTCTAGGTAAACTGTTAAAATGGAAAAACTGAGTACACGTCAACGAGATCAATGCTTTTAAGTGCAATTTTTGTATAATTTAAAATCTTAAAATCATTTTGGATGCTTACTGGATGTCTGGGTCAATTCCAATTAAGAAAGGGTTATTATATAGAGAAAACTGTTCTAAAAATTGTGAAATGTTTCTCATCTATACAATACTAATATCTGATAGTTCCGGATTTCTTTTTTCCTAGGTTTCTATAAAATGTGCCAAAGAAGAGGTGTCTTTATTCAGAAAAAGAATTATTTTGTCTAATTCAAAAGTTTTTTAAAAGTTGATGCAAATTATGAGTTTGAAAAGGTTATTTATGAAACAAACTAGAAAGGAAAGCAGTATACGGTGAAAAGAGATGTGAAGAAAGATATAGACAAGGGCATGTATTTTTGGTAAGGAAAGTTATCAAGAAAAAAGAGTAATTTTATATGAGAAAGAATCTTGCATGGTAAATGATTCTCCTAAAGGAAAATGACTGGTTATTTAAGCAACAGGTTCTTATTACAAGGTTAATCTAGAAAAAGAAAATTGAAAAAAATTTTAAAAAGGAACAGGTACCATAGGACAAGTGTATAGTCTAAGCATGTGACAGATGGTCTATGTAAGTCACGACAAGGCTCGTGAAGGGGAATTTATAAAAGGAATTTTGTATGTAATGAAGTTAGGTATAATTCAAAAGGAATTGTTTATAATAGTCTTTCTAAAGAATGGTCCCCTATATTAAACCAATATTTTCTTAAGCTATCAATTTGCTCTTAATAAAATGACAAGAAATTTTGAATTTCTATTCCATAATCGATTTCTTTTGAAAACTTCTGAGATTCATATCTCAAATGTTCAATTGTTGTCTTGCTGCTATCAGCTTTTTCTCCCTTTGACATGTCCTGGGATAACTCTATCCTTCAGCTTCCTCTCAGCTCCTGTAAATTTTCTTACTTCTAAATGTTGTGGCCTGATGCTAAAATATTTTATCTTAGAGGTCTATAAAAGCAGTGTTTTCCTCCAGGAGAACTTGATTCTAGACTCTTGGGTTGTGGTTTTTTGTTGTTGCTGTGGTTGTTGTTGTTTTGCTGTGTCTAAATTCTGTCATCAGGAAAGCTACCATGCAGCTACTAAGAGTCATCTATTCCCCAGTTCTACTCATAACTGTGTACACACTCTTCCCATGTTTGAATAAACTCAAGCACTTTTTATTATAAGTTGTACTTCCAGATCATCTCAACGGGCTTTCCCCTAAGGAGAGGCAGTCACACTAAAAAAGGTTTTCCTCTGACTTTTTGGTAACTGCCTTAAGAAACAAGATTTTACATTTTATCAAGATAGTTCCTACGTTGCCTTTATAAAGTGCTTATTTGCTTTTTAAAAACCTATGAAATTTGAAAGGAGTAAGATTTTTACATATGTGTAACTTTCTGTATTGCCTTTAAAGTCTGTCAATGATCACTTTGGTTAAATGAATAACTATTGTTTTACAAGGACCTGTGTTTGCTTTTGATCCAGTATTATAAGGTTTCTAACATCTTTGACAGACATTCCCAAAATTTGAATTCTAAATTAAGTCTCTGACTTATTGCTGGGGGCTTATCCAAAAGCTAAAAAAATTAATCACTTGAAGTGTTATCAACCACCTTCCAACCCTGAAAAAGTTCTTATCAGATGCTATTAACTAATCTTTGTGTTAAGGTACAAGGATATTGACTCCTGGATACATGTAGCCCTCTAAAGAAGACAGACTCCTGCCAGCGTCTAACATCT